GTGCAAAAGAGGAAGACCGACAACTTCACGCCGTCACTGAACTAGACACACATGTACATGATGTTCAAGTACATGTACATGCAAGTGCATGTACATGTTCAGTTTTTTATTAATCGAAATTAGGGGTGGGTGGGTGGGTGGGTGGGTCAAAATAATTTGGAAAAAAAGTCGAAATTTTAAAACATTGAAAATTCTGAATGGCCCCTTACGGTCACCTTCTTCGTGAACTGCTGGGAGAAATTAGAAACTAGGCTTTCACGTACATGAACAAGTATTACTGGAGCAACAGACGTGAAACGAAAATGTGATCGGAATTTGACTTTACATGTTTTAAGCGTATAATTGAACTTCGGTCTACAGGCATACTTCAACACGAAATAATTCATCAAGACGATAAATATTCGTCAAAATAAATGCAGTGAACTTAGGTGGGTGGGGACACGCCTCTTCCCTAAAGGCTTGTTCCCCGCCCGCCCTCCCTTACCTCCCACACGCCCCAGGCTTTGGGGGAAGGTATTTATATATTTTTTGGGGGGGTGGGGTGTTTAAATCCATCAAGGCCGCTCCAGAAAATGAGCACACCCTAAATATATGGACCCAATTTTAGCTGTTGCTCAAATGGCTTGGATAGCGGAAGCAAATGAAGGTTTTCCCTGCCCAAAAGGTACTAAATGATCGTTTGGGCAAAGCATACTATCCATCATAATAGCAGAACTCCACTGGCGCCACAATATTGCGCAAGTTCACAATATCACAGACGTGTCGTGATTTTAGATAGTTTGAGAGAAATATCGATTCTGCACTGCCTGAGGATTTAGAAAATACATCCTCTGCATGGAGTCTGGATATTTTACAGTGTTTGTGCTAGACGTCAGTCGAAGTGCCGCGCTTAGCCGCGGCAACGCTAAAAACGAACAAAACGGACGGAGTAGAGCAAGCAAAATGTATAGCGTGTAGCGGCGCAATTTCATCGTAGTAGAACACTGCTGGCTTGAACACATTTTTGCTCGGGAGTAGGCGGTGCTGAAGCATATTCCAGCACCACAATCCAAAAAGTTGGGGTGCTGTAGCACCCTCAGCACGAAAGAAGGAAACTCAAATGGTGCCCCCTATTTTTTGAAGAAGTTCTGCATGTAGCGCTTTCCAGTTCTAGAGCCCAATTATAATAAGCCTTCTTTTAGTGAAAGAATCATTCAAATCGCTCATATACTTTTCCAGTTATGGAATTTTGAATAAAAATTTCGTTTTTAACCTTGCCCACGGATCACATTTAAGGTACGTGATATTTCAGTAAGATTTATTCCGTGTCGTATCCTTAAAATGATATCAGAATTCATCCCACATGTCTTTCGGTGTAGCCAAGTAGAAGGCAGGGTAAAACTTTAAACTGTTGATTTTGTAAAGCATGATATTTTAACATTGGAAGCAGCAGGTTTTTAAATAAATGTTATAAGTGCAAGTTATCATGGTTATAAGGGCGTTCTGATGTGTTTCGTTTTGCTGAAATATCGGTAAACTTTATTTTGATCAGTGGACAAGCTAAAAACGGTGTTTGTGTTCACAATTACAAAACTGGAAAAGTACATGAGCGATTTGAATGATTCTTTCACTAAAAGAAAGATTATTAATTGGGCTTTCATATCCTAGATTTGGAAAGCGTTACATGCAGAACTTTTTAAAATAAAATTAGGGGGCACCATTTTGGTTTCCCCTTTTTTAGTCACCCTGTTTTGTACGGGTCTAGTTCCTCCGTCTTGTTAGCCACAGAGCGATGCGTGCTAAATCTCCTGAAAAGTGTGTGCTATGAATTAGAATTCTATAAACTATTTTCCACTTGACCTTTCCTATGGAAGCAGGACAAGAAAATCAAAATCACAAACTATAGAAATTATTATAAATATCACCTGAGTAGCTACAAATTTAATTGAAACGAATACTTACAGCCTCCCGCTTGGCATCTGGGAAGTAATCCTAGAACGGTGATAATGAGTATCGGCAACACTGACTCACGAAATGCCCGTTGACGCATATGCCTCTTCGTACCACTGAGTCAAGGTTCGCCTGGAGTTCCGAGAGCTTCTTGGATTATTTCAGGTTTGTCCCCGTCTACGTGCGTGCGGCAAGCCTGTTCCATGCAACTGACTTGGGTGGAGTGTATTTGAGTCCGCAGCCTGACAAACTGTGGAAATTGCCTATGAGTATGAATTAACAAGGACACCTGTTGAATGGTCACAATCTGACTCCATCATTCCATTGAAATATCAGTCTGTTATTGAACTCGTGCCCGACCATGCGGGTTGCTATTGTTAAGACACCACAATAAATGTAGTCTTTTATCCCTGATTCCCTGAATGCATTCGTACCGTGAATGTCACACAATTGGACCCAAAGGCAGACCCAGAACCAAATTTTCGGAGCGGGGGAAGAGGGCTCGGGTATTTATTTTTTTTCAAAATGGGGAAAGGGATAAAGTATAGAATATCGTGCGCTAGTACCACAATATAATATTAAAACTAAAAGGTGTGTCGTTGATGGCTTGCGAGGGCGATAAGCAAAGTTTTAATAAGTTATTTCTTGAAAATAACTTTCAAAAACATCTTTTTATTCGGGGGCAATGACCCCGGTTGCCCCTCCCCGCCCCCAATCGGGATTTGCCAGTGATTGAAGTGCAAACGATTCAACTACTGCAATGCTGTCAAACTGCAAGAGAAATAAGAACTAGGCTTTCACTCATCTACCAGGACAATATAATTATTAACGGAAGCAACCGGTGTGAAGCGATGAAACATTCCAGTTTCTGTAGGATTTGAAGGATTTTGACATTATTGGCGTTCTCACTTCACTTCAACGCGATAATGCCTTCATCCAGACGATTTGCAAACACGTATAGTACCTTCAGTTCATCATCATTATCATCAGGCTGTGGTCATCCATTGTTGGATGAAGCCCTCAAGCAGTTTCCATTCTCTTCTGTTTGTCATTTTACTCCATAGGCCTATTGCCGTTTTCATATATGTGGTGATTTCATACCTTTCCCCTGAAGGTTTTTTCCTTTTATTTAAAAGTTTCATTGACGTCACGCATTCTGTACTCAAGATTAACAAATAGCAAGGTTCACCGTGACACATCCCCAACATAATAGGAGTAGGACGGGTTTTCATCGAAACTAGTCGTGCGTTACGCCAATTCCAGTGAAGTTTCGTTTTAATAAAAAAGCTTTTAACGTTTTACCCTTTGCAACTTTTCCTCTTAAAATCTCAGTAGGCCGATAAATCCTTGCCATCTATCGATCATAAACATAATAGTGGAGGGGCCAATGTACTTCCGTTGGCATGACATGTTAATTTTTGGCAATCAAAGGGTTAGAGCAGGGTTAAAACTTTATCTCCAGCCTCAATTGTGGAAAGACTTTGGCAGTTACGCATTGTGAATAAGGCTCAGTTGACTTGCCTCGGCCAGCGATTCAAAAGCGTTGCCGTCTGTGATGGAATGATAGCCAATGATGCTGCTGTGGCTATTAAATCCCCGATAATTATGCGTGGCTTGGACTGTTTTGTGGATTGTGGCGGTGGCATTAGGAAGGGGCTTCCGGATGGTTTGTAGACAGATGTTGCTACTCCACCTAAGCTCAGTATTCAGGACTTTGATGTTCTGGTCATCAGATATGGAAGTTGACTGGATGACAGTCCCAGTTTTGACCCCTCCACCCCCAAAAAACGCACTCCCATACTTCTCGTAGGGGCGCTCATCATTGTCAGTGTCATACCGTGGATTTTTGGTCTGTTGTTGGGACCATGGTGCATTTCTTGTAGGCAAAGGACACCGCACCTGGTGTTCTTGCAGATATTGGTAAGAAGGTAGTCTACGTTGGCCATATCCCCTCAAGTTAGCAGATATTACTGTCAGCGCCGGCCTTAACAAAGGCTCCACTGCTGTGCCCTGCTGGGAATGGCGATGTTCGGGTGAAAGGGTGGATGCAAAATAGGCCCAACTTCAAACGCGTTTTTCTCGAAATATCAAAAACTTACAAAAACTTAGATAGGTCAGATCGTGGTACGATCGACGAATTGTTTCCAAACATCACCAGCAATAAAACCTCAGTTTAAAAGTTAAAAACATTCAACAAAGTCCTTTTGAAGGCCCGTCTTTTAAAAAAAAAGTGGATTCTATAAATTACATTGTTTGCCTACCCAGGGTTGTCAATACAGATATTGTGTACTATAGTTGACGACTGTTGTTGAAACAAGTATTCTGTGTCATTTTCTTTGCTGTTCCAAACAGTCAGAATACACAATAAGGCCACACAAAAAAGTATTCGGTCTCTGGTCAGACCAGAGTTCCGGAATTGATGCGGCGGCGCGTTTTTTTTTTTTTTTGGCCTTTTTTTTTGGGGGGGGGGAGCTTGGATTGTACAGACAAGGTGGGTACTATTTTGCTTTTGTTGTGTCCTTATATACATTGGGGACCTCCATATTTTGCCTTGGTGCCCTCCATCATTTGCCTTGGTGCAATTTTCCCATTCCTTGGTAAAAAAAATTCCTTGGCGCGCATGATTAAAATCGACGCGCGCGCTGACCCGAGACCGACTTATTTTTTTTTTGGCCTAAACTGTTTTTTTTGTTGTTGTTGATGAAACAGGTTTTAGGGTCATGAATTTTAAATGGTGATATTCTTTGAACAGACTGAGCAATGTTTTCATCTAAAAGTAGCTTACGACATTGGCTTTCCAGTCTTTATTATGTTTGGTGTTACCTATTTTTTTAAATATCAAATATATATTTTTTTGGGGGGGGGTAGGTTCCGCCTTTAGAGTCACCCTGTAGTGGCGTAAAGCACCGTGTAAAACTTGCTGTTTATAAACAGAAACTTATAGTTTAATCCTTTATCTATTTAATCCTAGACTATCTGTTATCAATATCTTCGAACGGAACCGTCATTATGATGAAAGCTTAACTATAAGATGATTACGATAAGAGTGGTTTATAAAGTTTTGGTTTGGTGAATGGAAAAGGAGAGTTTAGCAAAGTCCGACTCTATTATAGTGTCAAAAGCTTCGCCAGCGTACTGTAAGCCAATTTATTACGATGACTTCCTTGGGGTTATACGTGTTCCTTGCGTTGGCCGTTTGTGTAGGTAGGTGAAAAATTACCATTGTAGCATCATTGATTTACTGTTGTGCATTTTTTCAACCAGCATGTTTTTTTGTTGAAGCAAGAAATTTGCTCCAAACCGTATGTTGGGTGCAGTGCATGACGACATAGCTTGTTGAAGAAAACGCGGAAAACGTAAGTGTAGTTTTCGGGGTGTCGTAGCCGGATTTCAATGTAGCCCCCTTTTATTGATAGCGTTTAGCTGACGGCAAAATGCCACAGGGTATTGGAGACCAACCGTATCTGAACTATATAGAAGGTTTTTCTCACACCACCGCCAGGTATACGCCACGGCATTTTATTTGGTAATTGCTGGCATCCATGCTAGATCAATTCTTTGAACCATAACAAACCGAGATGTGGGTGGATGACATCGTAAATTTTGATCCTAAATATACCTAATTTGCATAAATCGTTAATAGCTGCCGTGAAATATATGTTGATTTCATTTTGGTGATTCTAGAAACTTACACATCCTTCCCTCAATAACATTTTCTAAAGCATACGAGTGACTGAATATTAGTGAGGACATAGTATAACGATCCAAAATGGCGACTATTATACCCAAAAGCTGCGCGCATTTACCTTGTCTCCAGATATCTTCAAGTAGTCTTGCCAAACTTCAGTATTGATGAGCACTTAAGTAACAATGCGTGTTCATGCACGAGTCACGTGATTGTGCCACGTCATTTCTGGAAGGAGTAGCGTTTTGAGTTTTAAAATAAAATCAGGTTTTTGACACGAGTGACCCCATGATGATATTTTACCCCAGTTTGGTCACGTGACATGTTGGGGCTGGGTAAAGTTTGGTTGAAATCGGTTGGAATATGTAGGTGCAATAGACAATGTCAACGTTTGTTACTAACTAACTAACTAACTAACTCCCCGAGAGACATGATGATTTGTTATGCTAAAAAACACACGAGAATTTTGCTATTGTTTGTACCCACGTTTAATATAGCGCCCCCATTTGGTAAAAAAAAAACCCAAATGGTAACTTCCGTCAGTTTGATACGAACTTATTGGTCTCGTGACTTGTTTATAGCGGCTGCCCCGCAGCCCAAGAGTGTAATCGAGTTTGGGGACATGATCCGCTGTCTGACGGACCGTAACATTATCAGTTCTTGGTTGGACTACGATGGATATGGCTGCTACTGCGGCTTCGGTGGGACAGGCACTCCCCTGGATGACACAGACAGGTCAGAGGTCAACAATCTTTGAGAATTTTGAACATTAATAAACGATAGGCTTTCTTGGCAGCAGTTTATAAACATTTTAACCCGTTCAGTGATCATCTTATTTGAGGATGATATACAACATTTGACTTTGCTGTAATTTTTTTTTTTTAATGGATTTGGAAATTTGATTTGTTCAAAATGGTTTTGAACACCCTCGGGGCGCATAGGACTATTGGTTTCGCCTTGGGTGCTATGCGCTCCTTGGTTGTTCAAAACGTCATATCACACATCACAACAGTCATCAACAATTGTTAATTGATATTTAATTTGAAGACTGAATCTTTTTTTACTGTCAGATTTTGTGTTTGTTTAATAAGGAATACACTGAGTCTGTTTCTAAATGAGAATGGTGAATTATGTCTGTATTCATTTGCAGCCTTTCATTCATGTGACCTACTCATATGAATACGTTAAAAAAAACAAGTGCGAGCGCACTCTGGCGAAAAATGTGAAAAACGCCGGTGGCAAATATGGAACACAATACTTTTCACAATACTGACCGACCGGCACAAAGGTGACTTGTAGAAGCTCATGCCAGAGCTTAGGCCTGGTATGCGCGCGCGTCGCCGTAGCCATGCGCGTCGGCAAAATGAAACAGTTTTTTTTTTCAATCAAAGATGATGTCTCAAAACCGCCAAACTCACTGGTTTGACTGGAATTCTGCTGCTGCACAATCTTAACGTGTTTTTAGATGGGGTTATGGTCGAAAATAAGCTTTATGTGGCCTCTCTGGACTCCCATATATTTGCACTAAAGTTTAGTCGGGCACCATTTGCAGTCATCAGCCGACATTTGAAGCAAAAAAAAAAACCAGGTAAATAAAAAAAAAAGCCGCGTCGCCGGATCACTTTTTGGGCAAGCTCCATACCAGAAACCGAAGACTTTTTTGGCCTTAACAAGCTAGTAGGTTAAATTTTGACTGGGATTCATTATGCAGTAATCCACGTACCAAAAACACAGCTTCAAATAGATGGGTTATGTTTTCTAGCTGTTCGCCCGCGCTAGTAAATGAAATACACTCAACCTAAAAAGAAATTCATGTCCCCCATTAATACTTTTGTGTCTAACTAAAAAACTAATTACAATTGATCAGTACAGAAATTCCTTCGCAATCCAGCCTTACCCTTTGTTTAGCCCAAAACAGTGATAATGTGTACCGTATGCAAAATTTTATGACAAATGGTACCGACAAAAAGTTGCATTTTTTGCATACGTACGTGCGAGGTGAGTGTGAACCACAACTTGCACGTATACAAAAGTGCAACTGTTTTTCGGTATCATTTTGTCATAAATTGCATAAATTCGTACACATTATCACTCTTTTGGGCAAAATAAAGAGAATGACTGGATTACTTAGGAATTTCTGTACCGATTAGTTGTTATTTGAGCGAGATGTGCTCAGTACTTTTTGAGTTAGACAAAAACGTATTGGAAGGGGGGACTTTCTTTTTGGTTGCGTGTATGACTTTCATGAACAGCGCCCCCATTCACTGAAAAAAATGGCCCAATCAGGGCGGTGGATCAAAGTGGTGGATTTCATCTGAATTGTGATTTCATTCTCCTAGGTGTTGTCAAGCGCATGATAACTGCTACGACGTGGTCATGAAGTCTGGTAAATGCCCATACGAGAGCCACGTGTACATTATCAACTACGATGCTACAATTGAGAATTGTAGACAGCCTGATGCAGTGGTAACATGCAGTACGTACAATGGGACTTTCAGTAGATTTGCGTGACAGTGACGATTATCCTTTTTTCAAAGTATATCGTTCTGTATCATCACTTTTATCAAAAGGAACTGTTCCAAGCAGCACTGAAAGTCGATACATGAATGTTGGTGGTATCTTACCAATTTCCCATAAGGTATTTTTTCGGTGTGGCATCATGAAAAGAAAAATCAAATTTGTTGCTAATTTGGTTGTTTGCCCATCAATGCACGAGAAGTATTAGTAAATTTCAAGTTCTAACATATTTGGACATATGCCCCCATACGTATTTCAATATTTGTGCGAAATATGCATATATAATGAGAAGTAGCTGAAGACCGGAAGAACCTCTTGGATGAGGCGGTGGTACGACCAATGTGATCTCTTGTCATCGTTAAAGTATTGCTTTAAAGGCAATATGGGATCATTGTAATTTGTCTAAAAAGTAAGTTATCGGATTATTATCAAAAAGCTTTACTTGGATTAAAGATAGTACTGGTCATGGTACTTTAACACCCCGTGAAATTATTCCGTCTGGCTATTTTGCTGCCATTTATAAGTCTTTTTAGAAACTTGTTAATGTAAGACTAGGACGATCAGTCCATTTCAATTGTTGGAAATACAGAGTGCTATAGACGAAATCGTAATCTGCTTTCTCTAAATGTGTAATACCGACTGATTGAAAGTGCAATAGGTTATGGGCTCCGTGCACAAGTAAAGTACCCCCTCATCGGTACGAAAGGGACAGTTAGGGAAGACATTCTAACGCACTGCCGACAGTCACACAAAGAAGCTATGGCTTTGTGTACATTCAGTCGTGCGTTCTTCGCGCCATAAGGGTGCCCTCAGCCTCCAGTCCGCGGTTGCCCCCCCCCCCCCCCGAGCTCTTAAAGGAGGTCAAAAAGCGCCCTCTCTGTTCGCGCACGGAGCCCATTGGTTCTTAAATTGTCTTCTTTTGGGTTTTTAGTCGTGTTATTATTGGAAACAAACAAAATTATGTATGAAAAGCAAATGATCCCATATGCTCTCTAAATTCCAAAGAGTGAAATGAGGGACTAGACGTTTTAGAGTGAAAATCACTCTCATTTCAGATTTAAAAAGTCTGAAGAAAGATGAAACTCGCTCTTTACGATTGAAGAAATTTTATTCAAAAACGTCTAGTCCCTAGTTTCCGACTGTGAGAGTGAATCTTCACTCGAATGGAGGGAATTTTCACTCTTTGGAATTCAGAGAGTGCCTTTAAAGTCTCGTTTTAATTTTTTTCGATTTTGAACCCTTTTTTCACCAGAAAGGGCTGAGGACTACGGATTCCTGGACAGCCCATGGAGCGAGTGTGCGGCGGCTATGTGCGAGTGCGACCGCGCCGGAGCCGAGTGCTTTGCCGCCAGTCACTACGACACGTCTTTGAAAAACTGGTCACAGGACTACTGCTAAGTCTAGTCACAAGCTTCGTCATGTACGGATTTCACACGCGCACATTATTCGGGAGGGACTGAACAAAATTTACATGTACTTAAATTTTAAAATGAGATTTTAAAGTTGTTTGATGTATGGGTGACCCTTGAAGGACACGTAGTCTTCTTTTATCTTGTCAACTTTTTAAGACGTCGTATTAACCTCGTATTCTTTGAGATATGGGTGTTTTTTTAAAAGAAATGAAACTTTTTAAAAGCCATCGCTTGTTTCCTTAACTTTGATTTTTATTCATTTTATTCGACGGAATTCATTTATGTATAAAATGGAAACACTAGTTTTGTCCAAGCCATGGGACTTTTTCGCAGGTAAAATAGTCTCTTGAATTTAACTAATATTATTTCTGTCATTTTATTTCAAATGTAAATTCGAGGCCACCATGAAACAAACATTACCTACAAGAGTCAAAGACATGCTAAATAAATATTGCTTGCTGAGTCATTTAAGTTCGTGTTGAACATATAAACACTAAGAAGTCAACAGAGCTGTTGATTTGCAAATAATATTGCTACCATCACCATTTCCTCTTATAGACCATTCCCCAACCCCCACCTCCACCACTTTCCTGCTTTTCAAGCTTTGTTTTCAAGCGTACTCCGCAAGTGGCGCAGAACGCAGCTGTGCCGGCGCATTGTGAATTTAGGACTATGAAATGCTGACTCACTGGTAGCATAGCTATTGCGCATGTCTACGTGAGGATTGTAAACGTTTAACCAATAAAACGGTAAAAGGCACCTGATTTCATAGCAGTCCAAATTTCATGTGACACTAGAAAATTTTTAAGACCAGCCATGCAGCCATGTCTTTATCATCCGTTTAAGACCGGCCACGTGACGGGCTCTCGACCAATGGGAATGGGTAAACTGTCTTAGGTATTTATGAATTGTTATTTAAGTGTTGCTTTGTGGGAAAACACGGCCTGTGTCCTTAAATATAGATTCCTCTTGGAAATGGGTCTGGCTCCAAGTTGCTATCGCCTTCACGATCATTATGTATTCAAGTCAGAAACATCTGTTCGTTCCGTTACATTGCACATAAATCCAATAATCTGTTCTGCGCGCAGGTGGCGCATACAGTAATCGTCTGTCTCTTCCGAGTGCAAGATTACCATAAGGCCATCATGGTTCTCCATGACAGAGCAACGGATTTAATGAACTAGAAAGTTCCAGATTATATTAGTATCTGTAACCCGATTATGATAAGAGGACTGCTTAATAAAAGCCGATCGAGAACACAATATCAAATGTAAAATGCAGCCAGCTAAACTGCGTAACTATTTTATCAGAGCATTTATAAAAGATATGCACACCGAAACCGTGACTGATCGAACAATGATGTGATATGTTTCTTTATAGCTTTCTTGAAAATACGAAAAAGGAATGAATTTGAAACCCTAACACGACAATAGGCCCTAAGGGTGCAACCCGGTAAATAAGCCAAACATCCCTCCGCCGAGCTCATGAATAAAAGTTATACATTCAAGTTTAGAGAGTTCTGACAGCAATGGAATCGGGGAATTGAAGACATTATGGCACCGGACCTCTGGCCTTCCAATTTCTGAGCAATTCGGATGCAATTGGGTTCGAAAGTGGCGCTATATAGCCATGTTGTGGAGGGATATTTTTGTTTTTCAAATTGGCTGCTTTTCTAGGTTGGGAAATATCGTTTCCAAATAGGGGTGGTCTTTGAGAGAATTAATAAAAACTTGTTGGTTGATCAACCAACCAAAAATTTAAAGTAAAATGAAAGACGGCATGGTGATTTTTTTCCTGTGCAGTCCGAACATCTGTGAGAGTTTTGAGTATTTTAAAAAGAATTGTGAAGTATTGAGATTTATCAATGGTGTCTATGGGAATTTATTTTCTGGGTTGCACCCCTAAACCCTGCAAATCCAGCAATGAGATATGCGTCTGCAACCACGTTGTTTCTCATCATGCCTTGCGCTAGACTTGATGACAAGTCGTTAGACCCTAGTGGTTTATGTCCGTCATCAGCGCCAGAACCCGCATACCATGCTATAACCATTCATGCAAAAATCATGTACTACCGCACGGCATGGTCAGTCCGTGTCTAACAGTACACGCATGGGATCGCACACGCATGCGGTCGAAAATGTACGTAGCGTCCCCGCTACTAGAACAGCATGCGGTACGTCGTACCCCCGGCACAGAGCTTGGCAGTCGCGCGCGGCGGACGCGATTAAAACCACTCATTACAGACTTGATTTCAAGTCTAGCCTTGCGCATAGTCTATGGCCTTGCGCCCGAGGAACACGCACGCGCCCATATGGAGTCGAGGCAGATGCGTCTGCGTCCTTACAACAACGCAGACTGATGAACAACAAAAGAACCATCCTGTTACAGCGCGTCATGTTCCAGTTGGGCACGCTTAACGCCAGGCGGCATCAACGTGGAATTCAACGCGTTCCAGACGGCATTTGATTTTCTTCTGCGGGCCAGTGAAGTCATTTACCTGAACACGCATGCGTAGAACCTATCACGTGAATGAATTTTCTTTCTTAAATTGTACGTAGTCAAGCCCTACACTGATCGATGAAATAATTTCTCTTTTTCATTCCTGCTTGATGGCTCTGCAAGGTTGTTTTTATTGGAGGTTAAGTCTGAGAACCATTATGTTACCAACTGACGCATGTGCATAATGGTGATTGACTATTATACAAAATTTTGAGGGTGGACAGTCGATATTCGCTCCCCGAGGTATTGGAAGTTGACGAAGCCGAGGGAACTAGTTTGTCAACTTCCAATACCGAGGGAAGCTAAAATCGACTGTCCACCCGAAATAAACCATGTTATATTTGTTTTACTATACCTCATACATATTCAGTTGCCGAATTTTGTTTTATTATTATGCACCTAAAACAAAATTTTGGGAAACTTGTACAACTCACCAAAAGATTCAACTTCAATTACTAGTTCGGTTCGTTTGCAATATAATACAGTTACTACAGTTGTAAATACAGTTGTTTGCAATGTGTACAACTTTCTTTTGTACAGGAGACATCTTTACACGGTCTATACATTTTCTCCAGTACGGCATCATTGAGCTCTGTAAATTAACATTTACGCGAACCGTGCAACCATGCATCTCTCCTGTGCGATGTTCGCGCGTACGTAATGTAACCCATGCGACAGTCTACTACGCATGCGTATTTACAATGTGCGTGAATCCTCGCGCGCGCGTTTGGTAAACAGCAAAAATAACATCTGGCACGTGATGGTGAATTGACCAGTGAACGGTCGGCTCTCGAGCATGAATATGTATGAGGTATAGTAATTCTAGTTGTAGAAGAAAAAAATGCTTCCAGACGCCACCTAGAGCGCCGGCCACGTCCTGAGTGCTCTCGGCCAGCCCCTGAATGATGGGCAGTTACAAATCCGAAATTTTGCAACCCGGTAAGCATTTATGACTATTTATATTTGCCATTCCTAAATTGTGAAAATAATGTTTGCTAAGAATAGACCTGGGCCCAATTTCACGGCGCTGCTTAACAGTTAGCAGAAAAGTTGTGTTTATCATAGCAGAAAAATTTGCTAACCTTAAGCACTATTTCACGGCGTTTGTGTGCTAACGGTCGCGCGTGCATGGAGATTTCTATTGTTACGTCACTAAGTTAAGCAAATTTGTCCTCTGAAGTAAGCATGCTTTTTACTGTACTTATGCTTACGGTCTCCATGAAATAGACGGAGGCTCTGTTAGCAGAAAATCGTGTGCTTACCAGCGCCGTGAAATTGGGCCCAGCTGAAATCAAAACAGCAAAATCCTACTTCCTTGTGGACTAGGACAAGTCTACCCCCATGGGTGTAATGAATCGATAAAGCGTGACGTACATGTACACTTTCTATGCTTCTATGGATTCATTTTCATCCTGGTACTGAAGAGGCGGCGTGTGCTGTGTTCATCTCAGGGGCATCTATTGACGAGGGTTCGCGCCGTGTGGGAGATTGCACGGCCGTGTTAGGGAGTTGCCATGCTGATGAAAGGCTGCGCGCAAATAGACATTATCCAAAGCCCGCCTAGCACAATAGGAAATTTTGCGTGGCACGGTCATCGTTGCTATTCATTGTTGGTGTTTCCTTTTTATCAGGAACTCATAACTGACGGGAGTATTTGTGAAATCCAGCGTCTGCTTGCAGGTCGGAGAGGCAACCTGGAGGAGAAGGGATGATATAATCATAGCGTCCCTGGTGTTAGAATAATCGATTATAATAATGAGATTCTCGAACAAGATGGAGGCTACGTGCAGGTTGCTGATTATGCTGGCTGTTGTGATGGTCTCAATGGCTATCGTAGGTGAGTGCGGTTTTGTTCTACGGCCGTAAAATAGTTGACAACCCGTAATTGATAAGTTGTCAGTACTTATTCCTCATATTTTCTTGATCATCATCATCGTGATTTAAAGCAAGTAATAAATCTCAAACTGCCATAAAAAATGATGGAAAGATTTGCCCTTAGTAATTTTCCCAGCTAAATGGACATGGCTGATAGGTAGGTCACTGCATGCAGGGGAAAAGTATTGATGCCAATGTATGGAATTCTTCTCAAAATGATAAAAACAAGCATGTTATTTGTAAACAACACTCCGTATGCTAGTCAGTTTAGCCATTGAGATTTCTCCACGGTTTAGCCGAATGCGACTTAGGCAGCCTGATAGGACTCTTACAGCGATAAACGTGTATCCTAATTATGTAGTTATGTGAAGACCATCTTAAATTATATGAAAAAGCAAAGCCTTATTCTTTACCCAAATTTTAAAAAAGTTCGTACGCACAATTTAAAAAAAAACCTGTTTACCAAATGTGCCAAAGATTAATGAGTATTGCATTAATATAAATCACTACATTAGTTTCTCCAATTTAATTGACATGAACCGTTGTAAACGGGGAAGTTGCTTTTAAAAAGACGTTTCTATGCATGAACTTGTAGGCGGACCTGTACAGCTGGAAATATTCACGATTCTGTTCACCGTAATTTTCACGAATGAATAAAATAAATGAAATAACTAAAAATTACTGTTATCATCATATCAACTCAGAGAATCGTCTGTCAGTATCCAATCAAATTTCTGGCATATTCTATGTTTTTTCTTGCCAACTTTGATTTCCAAGATGTTCAGGGGGTTTTCTTTGATGAATTTTGATCAATCATTGTATCTGTTATAATTCTGTTGTTCAAGTAGGTTGTATGTCACTTCTTAAATACGGTACTGGTATATCAACAAACGCCTCTCAAATGTAATTTTAAGTTTGACACGAAAGAATAATGTAAACATTTATCATGTGATGTGTTAGCCTCAAAATGCATGGGTCTTTTTATTATTATTACTATTATAATTAATCATTTCTGGTAAGCAAACCAAGGATTCCTCAAAAGCGCCCTGGGCACTGTAGCTCGCAAGCCTGAAGAAACCTGTGGAGAGGAGACAATGAGAAGAACTTACAGTTTTAGAGGTGGGAGGAAAAGCTCAGAAGAATATTCTGGGGGA